CGTATAAAGCGCCTGCTGGCTCTGACAATTTGCCATCTTTTCGTTTGCGGCCAGGTGCAGGTTCTGGTGCCTGCTCAGTGCTAACTGCAGTGCTACATGCGGTTATGTATGCCGCGGCCACGAATCATTCGTTTTATCTGGACGAGAGACTGTCGAACCTTCGAGGAAATCATTCAGCATGGTACAACCATTTCTTCCAGCCGATTGGCTTGCAAAACAGGTCTCTAGATCGACAACCATATCTGGACATGCTCGGTGTGTTCAACGTTACACATCTGTCGCGGCTTGACCACATCACCATTGGTGCAGAAACACTTCCCAGGCTCAAGATGAAGCGGAGGTTTTTGCGCAGGATTTGGCAGTTTCAGCCGTGGGTTGCCGACCAAGTTTGTCAAACCGTCACCGAGTTGGGATTGCAGCATCCATATGTTTCGCTGTTGGTCCGAAGGGGCGACAAGAAGCGAGAGAAAGCCCAACCGGTTGATGTGAGCGTCATGGTGGAGTTTCTTGACGTATTGACCTGGAAAGGTACAGTGACGCGCAAGGTTTTTGTAGGCACAGATGACTGTCGAGTCTTGCAGGAATTGCGGAGTGCAGCTCCTGGATACTTCTTCAAGAGTCTGTGCCACAAGCACTTTGGGCAGGGATGGTTTTTAGAAGCGGATGTCCAAAAGGATCTGACCTCTCACTTCATGAAATTCTTCGGCGAGTTGCTGGCAATGTCCTCGGCAGACGTATTCATAGGAGATTCGTTGAGCAATGTGCACCGCTTCGTCAATTACATGCGTCCGGAAGAGTCCCCAGAAATCACCGTGTATGATATGCGCTTCAACAGGAATTACTACACTTGAGTTCTGCACAAGGCGGGAAAAATCAAGTCACGTGAGGACATCCTCATGCGGTCTTTGCGTGTGCGAATCCTGGTTCACTCTTAACGCTCGGAACTAGGAACTAGTACTGGTTTGATCATGTTTTTGCTCCCAGTTTCCAGCCGTGAATGGTGAACATGCAACAAACCAGACTGCGAGGTTCTGAGGATCCAGCGCATTATTCTGCATGATGTTTCTGATCTTTGTGGACGTGTCTGCACAGGGCTCCCGATTGATATATTAATCTGCCTTGCTTCTGGGTTCTCATGGTTTTTTACCGGGTCTTCAGGCGAAAAAGCCACCTTACCATGTCAAGCATTTCAACTTTGCTTTTGGCAAGTTGGTACAGTTCTGTTTGGATTGCCCGGCCGTGAAATCTGTGCCAGGGAAGACGCAGCTTGCATGAGTATCTGTATGGCTGTGGGGGCCATCGGGATACATGAAGGCTAGCTTTTGGAAGGCAGAGCATGTGTATGTCATGTGTATGTACAGGTCAGCCTGTTGTTTCATCACATGTTGCATCATTCCGTACGTCCTGGACAGAAGCTGTCAGCTCATGCTCTGTAGGCAAGTAGCGGGCATGCGGGTTCTTTAGAGCTTAAGCTCACAAGTTGATTGTTATCGGTGAATCATCGTAGTTGTGTGACACCAGGTTGATGTGAGCAAAGCCGTGCTACTTGGGAAGGAAAGGGTCTTTGCGGGTATCATACCAGTTTGCGATGTGCATGGAATTCTGGCACAAGCCAACAACACCCGCATGGCTCGTAAAAGTCTTGGCATGCAAACAACCGCATGATGGACAAAGAGCCGCCTCTGATGGCTCCGAGCAGCTTCCGGATTGCACAGGGCTTCCGAAGTGGAACATGTTTATTGTCACAGCTCTCAGCCGGCTGTGTTGCCCGTCGGCAGCAGACTGTGAACCAATAGCTCTACCAACTGTCGAATTTGACGCGTCCGCGACTGCACATTCATACTGCATACTGTAGGAGATGTTTGAGTACCACAGGCCAGATGCACAATGCGAGCTTGCTGGCTGGCAGAGCTAGTTGTTTTTTAAGTTTTTTTGTTCGATGTGTTTCGCAGGTGAGGATGTATGACCATTTCGACATTGCCGGGGTCTTGACTAAGTCTTGACATCGTAGCAGAGTGTCTTGGCACATCCGTCACACGGCGCCCATGGGGCATGGACCTGTTCTGTGATACATGTTAGTAAGACGTTGGACGGGTCCAAATTGCAGTTGTTTGCTGCGAGCTCGTCGGGGCCGGGGGCTGAGGTTGCTGCTATGTAACTTCTGCACGTTTCTCGTTTCGAGCGGCCAGGTCCCGGTTGCGGTTGTTTCGGTTGTATGCGTTCACCCTTCTGACATGTACATTATGCCAGCATGCGGGAATGGTAGTCGTGATATGCCACTAGTTGACCGCTCGAGTGTCGTATGGCTTATGCATCAAAAGGTGCTGTTCAGTCGCATGCCAGGTTTCTTCACGCACAGTGTTTGCCGTGCGATCCTCTGCCGTTGGGAGCACCACCGGTCCTATCCACAGGCCAGCTTGACTCTGGTGCTGTGAGGTACAGTTTGATGTTTCTGTGGATCCCACTGCGTTCATCCCTCAGACTTTTTCGGTTAGCTCTGGATTTGTTTCCATAAGCCCCGGCGCACCGAGGGCTACGCCACAGGAGTACTTCACCGCCTTGCAGGCAACAGGGCCGTACGAGCTCCTGGACCCTTTGTCGACTTCCTTGTCCTTTTAGGAAGCCTTCGCTGATGCGGCCACCATATCAGGCTGCGGACTTACTTTGCATCATGTGCGGACTTTCAAACGGCAGGTCAGTATGCCAGTTGTCACAAGCGTGCAGAGGTAGAGATTCAATGCTAGAGCAGGGCGTTGACGACCAATGTGCCCTCGGACCGTCGCCGGAGGTGGCGATGGTGGCTCTGCAGGAGGTGGTGACGGTGGCTCCGCAGGAGGTGGCGGTGTCTCCGACGCCCTGGGCTCGCAGTTCCTGTCCCTTGGACTTGGAAAGAGTAGGATGGATCCTTTGGTGTCTGCTATGCATGCTGTTCGCTCGGCTCAGATAGCAGGTCTCCCAGGCCCGTCACTGATAGTTCGGGCCTTCGACTTACGTGGATGTAGGAGTCGAACCTCTCATCGTGCAGCTCCCGATAAGTCACTAGACACTCCAGCATTCAGATTTCCCTCGGCATATCCGAGACTAGGCCGCAGAGAGCCACCTCATGGCGCCCATGGCGCGCTTGACATGCCTAGCCGCTTTCCTTGCTTTCGCAGCTGCTTCTGCGGAAGTGCTTCAGCCCGCACTGCTGAGACGCCAGGAGGCTGTTGCGCCGGTTCACAGCTTGATCGATGTTCATGCGCAGTGACTCCAAGCAGCACATGACATGGAGGTGGAACCTGAATTGGTGGAGGAGCTTCTGTCCGGCCCACGGCATGCTCACAGACACAAGAAGGCGAGTCAAGGGTTTCAGTGACCTCGGTGGTAAGAGATGAACTGAGCGCGCAGCAATTGCCAGTGCTTCCTGCCAGGGGTCCCGTGAGCGTCATGGTGTGAAGAATCACGCCATCAGCCACCTCAAGGCTGCGCTTTAAGGAGACCCGATGTCCCCTAGATTCCAGTGTGGCAGGTGAACCAGTCTGCGCAGAACCAGGGCAAGGACATCCCGGTTTGTGGAGCCGACTACACTTGTGACGAGGAGCGGACAAAGTCCCTTGGAAGCTATGCCAAGAAACACCTGGCCGTCTACACTTACAACATCGGCTCCTATGAGGCTTGGAAACTCGTGAGCCCATTAGTTTGCCAAGAAGTACGCTCGAGCAACAGGTTTATGACGTACAGTAGCACGTGACAGGGTGGCATGCGGGAGAAGAACATTCCCTGCGTTCCTCAGAATGTAGATGCCTTTCTGTTCCTGGACCACGACACATGGGAGCGCTCGAACCAAACCTCCCTGGGTATTTGGAAGAGGAGGCAGGGACCCACGGAGGCTCAAGGCTCTGCCAGTTCAGTAGATCCCTTTCCGCAGTGCCAGGGGCTGGCAGATCAAGTCAATTTCCCTGCAAGCTGGAACGGAATTTGTGACGGGTGCCAGGCGAGGGGCTCAGCGAGAAAGGATCTAGAATCTAGAACCTCTGCTTGTCCTGTATGCTCTGGGATTGTTCGCCTCTGAGTGTGAGCGATACCGTGATCTCAACTCCGTTTCGTCCCCTTGCCAGGCTGACATCGAAGCTTCTAAAATTCACACCACCGTCGTGGTCCTTGGCAGAACGAGTGGCTGTTGCCCGGGGATTCTGCCGGCTTTCATTCATGGGCCCATTGGTGGGTTACAGCAGCATAGCAGCGGCAAGAAGCGTGACACAAAGTTGCAAGCCAGATGCCATCTCTGCCTGTACACGGTTCTGTTTCTACGTCTCAGGCTCTTGAATGGACAGTGGGACTGGCTCGTGGAATTCGATGGAAATGTGGTCCTGGATTTGCTACGAGTTGGTTTCTCGGCAGGAGATGGTATGTCATCAGCTTGTTGCTTTTTGGAAGCATCATGAAGCATCGTTCTTCTTGAAGATTGCCGACACTACCTGGAGGTCCCTTCCTGGACAAGTACTCGCTTAAACCTTTGCTACTCTTGGATTGGAGCTATCATGAGAGCTGTGGCGAAGATGGCTTTAGTTGCTTCAGCCACGAACTGAAGTCAATGCTTCACAACCGTCGGCAGTACATCGAGGACTGCCACCAGTATTGGGACAAACGTGCATGCAGAGCGACAGGCCAGGTTTCAGCACATGTTTTTGCAGGACTCCAAGGAGAACATCGTGGCATGGCAGGCATCGTGTTTCCCCTATGTCGGCGTGTCTCCTTCGGCCGTTGCAGCCCAGCCCAGCTCGCTCCCCTCAGGAAAATTCATTCCCGACTCAACCAGAGCCTATTGGACTATTAGTCTGGTTAACTCGGAGCTTTGAGTCAATCACAACATGCTTCTTCCGGCAACTCGTCCAGCGAACTTAGTATACCTGTCGTCAAGACTACTCTAGTGCCATCGCTTGTGATCTTATCCCGATGACGGCGCAAAAAAGACTGCCTCGTGACGTTTTGGCCGAACTGTTGACGAGGCATAGGTAGCCGTCACTGGTACATTGGTTGGCATTTGAGTCTGCGGCTGGAAGGAAAAGCTGACGAAGGAGCATCAAGGCCGGGACCCGGGGTCAGCCTTCCAATAGCGTTAACCGGGTTAAGGGATCGTTTTGCTAATTTGGACTGTGTACTGGGAACCCACCACGCAGAATTCATCTATTCTTTGCCGCCTTTGTTTGCATGCAAGTGCTTTCATGCCTCTGCATTGTCACTGTAAGATCAAGACGTGTGTCGAAACACATTGTGTTGTGTGGTGCAGCTTGTTGCGTGGAGTAACATATCATGTACGAGCGACCGCACCGGAAACCGCAGCAGCTGTCGCTCGAAGACCTTCGAAAGCTTTTACCCAGTCCTCGCGCCCCGGTCACGGCGATGGCACCGATGCATCGCATGAGCTTCCGCGGGAGATCTTCGAGCAGATGGATCAGTTGAGAGACGACGACGTACCAGTCTCGGCGCCAGATCAGGCCGCTTTGCTGACGATGGACACGGTCGGAGCAAGCTTGCGCTTCGGAGGTTTTCGGAGCTCGGCGCAGTGTTTCTCCAGAGCTCGGAGAGAACAGGTCTCCGTGTCATCCGTCCGTCGAGAGGGGGATCGACGTCGACCTCGACAGCGCTTCTCTGGATCTCTCCAACACATAAACTTGACGTTGCTTTGCACAAAAAATTGGAGCCAGGTGAAGCGCGCAAAGGAGATGCCGCTGTTACTGTGGCACCGTCCCGGAGAACACTTGCCACTACGATGCCACGACCACTGCTCGACAGACCCCGAAGCTTATCTTTCCGCGGACGACCGCCAGGGTGAACGGCTTTTCATCCGTCCATAGGCGAATGTGAGTGCCGCCTCGGCCGCCTCGCAGAACACTGTGTTTTAACAATTGATTCAGGACGTTGCCAAAATTTGCTAAAGCGTTCAGCCAAAAAAAGCAACTTGCGCAACAGGAGAACTACCAATCGTGGTTTTCCACCGCCACCGAAGGAGGGATGAACAAATTCTTGTGAGGCCATGCTTGGAGCTCCGCCCCACCTCCGCAGGCTCACACCAAGGAAGCCGGTCACTTGAGCCTTGCCCGAAGGCTCTAGCTGTGCAGCAGCATTGGAATGTCCCGGCCATAGCTGAGCAGATGGTGGCCAAAGCGTCAACCAAGCTCTCTCGGAAAGCACAGGGCCATGATGGCATGCGCGCAGACTTACTCAAAAAATCTTGGGCAGGCTGGTCATAGCTGAGGTTCTTCAGGCTCAAAAGCGTTGCGGCATAAGGCTTGTGCTGGATCTGAGCATGTTGTTCATTCCCGCTTCATCGCGGCGGCCTTTGAGCACTCCTTTCCAGTCTTGGTTTTGCATCATGCCGTTTCCCTCTACCAGCGTTGTTGGTACATCGTCGCCGAGGAGGCTTTCAGTGCTGAGAGGAGTTGTAGCTGGATGCCCCTACGCGCATGTGCAGGAGGTTTTGCAGGAGCTGGCACACTTCGATATTTTTCCATTGATGACACGGATTGACACGGGATGTCGAGGGTGACACTCCTAGTATTGTTGTTGAGGTGAAGGCGGCATGTGCAGCCCAGCACCTCCCTGTGTCTGCTGGCAAATCGGTGTGGGGGTGGTCCAGCCGCGCCGTTGAGAGTGCCCTCGCTAAGCACCTCCGATCGGTCATCCCAAGCCACAGTCGGATTCGGGTAAAGCCAAGCACTGCGGTGTGGGCCACAGGAAGAGGTTTGCCAAAGCCAGCGATCCAAGGGTCCAAGAGGCTCACCCACTTGAATGCCAACCAAGCACATCGACAGCCGCATCAAGCGCCACGCAAGGAGCCCTGGCGCTGGGCCTATTGCTGCCTGCCTGGCGTACCTCGAGGACGTAGGCTGCGCATGTTATATGGGGTGAAGCTCCAGACAGTGGCCACTATAGGCTATAGGGCCATGCCGTTTGAGGGCGACCAATTCCTTCTGACTGATGATAATGCTCCGACTTGAGAAATCTCCTATGTCGCTTGTATATTCGTGGCGTCTGACATTCCAGGACTCCGCTTTTGGGTATGCACACCCCGGTACTCTCGCTATGTAAAACTTCATGTTCAACCTCGGGGACAGGTGGAATGCACGGCCCCATGCCGGGGTCAGAAGCAACCCTGTCCGCGATGTCGCTCGCGAAGATCCATGATCGGACTTTGCAGAGTGGTATGGATGTATGCATTGACCGGGGCAACCGGTCCCGGTTTCGTCCCTCCCCTGAAAACAAAATTCCGAAGCTTTCGAAAACGAAGTTGTTGGCAAGGAGCTGAAATTCAATTGTGCGCGAAGACGAAATTTGAAGACGAAGTGCCGTCCTGAAGACTAAATGCGGGTGAAGACGAACCTCGGTTGGGGCACACTGAACACGAAATTCGTCCCGAAGACCAAGTTGAAAATCCGCAGCACGCAAGACACATCGCACACGTTTCCAGGCTCCTGAATGAAAAACGAAATTCGGCCCTGAAGACGGAATTTCGTTTTCGCGGCCAAATCTCGTCTTCAGGGCCGAATGTCGTTTTCGCGGCCGAAAGTCGTCTTCGCGACCGAATTTCCTTTTCAAGGCCGAGTTTCGTCTTCAGGGCCGGAATACCGTCTTCAGGGCCGAACATCGTCTTCAGGGCCGAATTTCGTCTTCAGATACGCAATCAAAGTGTCTTGCGTGCTGCGGATTTTCAACTTGGTCTTCGGGACGAATTTCGTTTTCAGTGTGCCCCAACCGAGTTTCGTCTTCACCCGAATTTCGTCTTCAGGGCGGCACTTCGTCTTCAAATTTCGTCTTCGCGCACAATTGAATTTCAGCTCCTTGCCAACAACTTCGTTTTCGAAAGCTTCGGAATTTTGTTTTCAGGGGAGGGACGAAACCGGGACCCAGTTTCCCGGGCCCCTGTAATACATGCATGCATGCATGTGCATGTGTGTGTGTGTGTGTTCATCTGCACAGGCTTTCGCGTGGTTTGGGTTTACATTTTTTTTACATTGTGCATTTCGTTGTCTCATGTTGTCTCTTTAGCCGTACCGCATTTGCCCTTGTATGCGCATCCCCACCAATCCCCTGTGCTGCATCCACATGCTTGAAGCAATGGCCTCTCCAGGCTCCGTGCCGGGCACGCGCAAATACACACCGCCCTTTTACTATGAGACCCGGATCATCTTCCGGAACCTCCGGCATGCCAGGCGCTCCTCCCAGTTCCAACGAAATCCTGTCAGGAGAGAAGTTTTTGGTAGATGTTATATCCTTTCAGCTGTCCAAGTTGTGTTCGCGCTCGGAGACGTCAGGTCCGCGGATGTTTCGCAAGCTTTTGGCCGCACCTACGAAAAGTGCCATGAAATTCAGCGGGACCAGTTCTTGCTGCCGTATTACCTGTGGCATGCGAACCTGAGCTTTGACACGGAGGCCTTTCCAATGACGTTTCTGGCAGACTCTGTGGGGATGTGCATGGTCAACACTCGAGAAGGACGCAACTAAGTCATCGTCACTGTTTTCTGGTCTTCACTGGCCTTTTCTCTGCTCGGAGCGGTTCATGGTGCCACATCAGAAAACGGGCCGATGCACAGCTGCCCGCTGTTCTTGTCAGAGCATATCGTGTGTGTCCGAGGCCCCGCTTCGAGCAGGGATCCTTCTTGGCACAAGTGGCCTTCGCGGAGAACTCCCTCACGGAGGCACGGCATGGGCACATTTCCTCGCCTTGGCTTGAGACCAGCACATGGGAAGGCGGTGACGATGAAGGCCAAGCAGCGTGAAGGGTTTCATCATGTTTCATCCAAGGGATGATCTCTCGAGTGTGCAGGTTTGTGACATGGAGCCATTCTGGGAGAAGGCCCTGCTCTGCACGGCTTCGGGGGGAACAACCGGGTCAGTTCCATCGCCGGGCTGCGTCCGTCTTTGTAAACGTGAAGCCCGATGATCCCAGGAAGTTCTGTCCCCCCATCTCCTGTGTCCGAGCCAAGTTCGGCCCGATCCAAGGATCCGAGGGAGCTCGCACAATGCTTCTCGAAGTCTGCATCTCGTAGTCGGCCAGCAAGCGGTACAAGTATATGCGTGTCTGAACGCTTTGCTGGTACCGAGTCGACAATAACTTGCCTTCACAGCCTGGTGTGATGGTGAGCTCAACTCTAGTAGTGTGCAACATTGTGCAACCAGAGCTTCCTCTACCTTGTTTTGAAGCGAGTCCCGGTCGAGGAGAGAGCAGGGCGCAATGTGAGGACTCGAAAATTCGTGGTTTCCACGTGTCGTTAGAGTTTATCTGGACATGTTCACGTTTTGGATGCCAAGCGAGAGATGGCTTTGGAATTTTGCGGGCATGCGGTAGCTGTACTGGTGGGGAGACAAGCCTTGTGCCCAAATTCTCTACTTTACCCAATGCAAACTAAAACTCTGGGAATGCCTGCTTTATTATGGGCGGTTGGAGCTGGTTGTTCGACCAGTGGACCTTGATCCTTGTATTTTTTCTTATTTTGGAGAGCTCCAGGCATACGATTGTGTTCCGTGATTGCTGCTACTTGCAGGGCCAGACGGTCTTTGACCTGCGGGAGTGCAGCCTCAGCCCCGCTGCGGCCCGAGAGTTCTGCACCCTAGCTGCCAGCAGGGACCCTCTTCGTCCGGATGTTGTTCATTGCAGTCTGCTTCCCATAAGTGCAAGACCCTGAAGATCGCGACTGGTTCCTAAAACCGAAATCCGTTGAGAGTTCTGGGTTCGCAGCCTGCAAGAGACAACCCGCTAAGTGCGCACTACCAACTACAGAGCATGAATGAACTACGACTAGTACTGGTACAACTACAACTGCAACGACAACAATAACTACTACGAATACTGCTACTACGACGACGACTACTACTACTAGTACGACTGGGGACTACTGTTACGACCACGACTCCTGACTATGACCACGACGACGACAACCACAACAACCACCGCCACCACCACCACGACGACGACGACTACTACTACTACTGCTATTGCCATTGCTACTGCTACTGTTACTGCCACTGCCACTGCTGGTACTGCTACTGCTACTGCTACTGCTGCTGTTACTAGTAGTCGTCGTCATCATCGTCGTAGTAGTAGTGGTAGTGATAGTACTAGTGCTAGTACCACTACTACTACTACTACTACTCCTACTACTACTACTACTACTACTACTACTACTACTAGTACTAGTACTAGTAGTAGTACCTACTACCTACTACCTACTACCTACTACCTACTAACTACTAACTACTAACTACTAACTACTAACTACTAACTACTAACTACTAACTACTAACTACTAACTACTAACTACTAACTACTAACTACTAACTACTAACTACTAACTACTACTACTACTACTACTACTAC